CAAAGCGCCAAAACGAAAAGCAGAAACAAGAAAAACTTAATTCATCTTTTTATCTTCTTCCTTCCCTCCTGTTCAGAACCTCTTTTGCGTACAAGGCCGCCCACGTGGATGTAGGTGGAGCGGCGGCTGCCCCACCCCCGTGTGTCATATGGACCCACTTGCACACAGCCAAAAGGCAAAGAGGCAAAGAAAAGAGGAAGGGAACAGCCAAATAATACAGAACAGGGGGCAACAAAATAGATCCCAGATGACGAGTCCCGCATGCAAGCCCCGCCCCTGGCCACAGGCCAAACGACGGGACAAGACCAACCAGGATGTCAAACAATCTTGTCTGCAAAAAAATCAAAAAGAACCCGGAGGACCGGTATAAAAACAATCCCCGATGACTATTCCCACATGCAAGCACCGGCCCGCGCACAAAAGGCCGAACAACGGGAAACAACCAACCAGGATGCCAAACGGGGGTGGGGGCAGAGCCGCCGCTCAACCTACATCCACGTGGGCAGCCTTGTACGCAAGAGGTTCTGAACAGAGGGAGTTATAAGGAAGAAGATAAGAAACTGAATTGAGAAAACTACGGCGCAGTCAGGGTTTGAGTTTGTAATTGCACTTGGCAAAAGGGCCGGTAATGCTGAATGTATATGACCTACGTTTCGGGTCCAGTGGGGTCGCGTGGGGGTGTGTTGTATTCGCCGGATTTCCTGAAGTGCAATTACAAACTGTTTTCGTGACTGCGCCGAAGTTACCCCAACTGAATTCATTTTTTCTTGGTTTCCTTTCTTTTTTTTCTTTCGCATTTGCGCTCTGATATTCTTGTGACAATACGTACTCCGACGTACGTTGCTAGCTCTCTGCTTTTGTAGATGATGCGGCGAGCGTCGGGCCTGTACTAGCAGGCTCTTCTTTGGTTATGGTACTAGAAAGTATTCTCGATTTTCTTGACAATGCACGTAAGAATTCATTTGCGTCGAAAATAGCCTGACTCATCGTCCTATCATACCCCAATTTTTTTATTTTTTTTGTGTTGCTCATTTTCCCCGTTTCTGGGGTGTTTCGTTTTGCAGGCCTACTGTATGGTTCCGTTTTTTTTTTTTTTTTTTTTTTTACTACGGATATGGTAGATTTGTTCTGGTAATCTTGTCTGCATCCCGGTTGGTTTTGTCCCGTTATTCGGTCTATTCAGTCAGCAGGTAGCGGTGCTTTATGTGGGACTAGTCCTCCGGGCTTTTTTATTGTTTTGGTATACATACATCGTTCAACAGGACTGCCCGCTAAACCGTAGGGGCCGAAGGAGAAGAAGAGGACAACAAACGAGGGGCTCAGGGGCTGTGTGACAGACTGTTTCATCGGACATTCATGTATATATATTGTCACAATGGAAATCAGAGCGCAAAGGCGGAAAAACTTCGAAAAAGACCGAACAAGAAAAAGAAAAAGAAGGAAGGAAAGCCCCACCTGTTCGTCACCTCTTACGTACAAGCCCAGCCACGTGGATGACAGGTTGAGCGCTGGCTGCCCCCATCCCCGTGTGTCACAAGGAACCCCCACTTGCACGCACGCAGACAAAAGGCAAAAAAGAGTTAAAGAAAAGGAGGAAACCAAACCTCACAGAAGAAGAAAGCCTATTAAACAGACGAAGCAAGTGACACATCCACAGATAATCCAATTACCATCCCACAGAGCATATTTTTCTTTTTTCTTTTTTCTCAGGTTTCTTTTTTTGTGTTTTTTCTTGGTTTCTTTTGTTATTTATTTATTTTTTATCTTTTTACTCGGTTTCTTTTTTTATCTGTTTCTTCTACACTTCATCTGTCACCCCCTCGGCAGATAGAACAACTACGGTGAGGATGACGGGGAAGTTCACAGGAATACCCAAGGAGAGTTGCGCTAGTACAGCATTCAGCCGAACGGCTAGCACGAACCATCCCATCGAAACTATCCCGACATAGGACATGTTGCCCACATGTCAAGAAAACAGCAGGACGTTCGTCACAGTGCGGCATCACAAAGTTCTGATAGCGTCCTTGGGAACAGAAAGGACAACGTACATCTGGATGATAGGGATTGGGAACATACCGGTGAACCGTAGTACAAAAAATAGACAGATAATATCTTTATTGGACCGTGCGACCGACAGAAGAGATTGACCAATCATGAAACAGCGCCCCGGTTTCCCGCAGATTTTACGTTTGACAAATGTCCATGTAATATGTGGAAACACATTAATTACGCCCCCATGGCTTGCTTCAGAATCTTTCATGGAACTAGGCTCACCAACCCCAGTGATGAACACGTAAAAACGTTTTCACATCAGCGTGAAAAATCGACGGATTCTCAAGCTGTGCAAACCCACCACCTCATTACGTTCTCCATAGTCAATACATATAATATAAATTTCAGTTCCTAAAAATCCAAGTGACTGCTACGAGCTCTTTTCCCGGACCACCACTTCAGCCGAATAGAGCGCCCGGTCATTATCACTGTGTCTAGACGGAAAGATACACCAAATACAGCTCTAATGACCGGGCGTTTTATTCAAGTGAAGACGGTTACCGAACTTACCGTACCACTTCAGCCGAATATGTAGAGCACCCTGTACAATCTTAGATGTTATCCTGCACACCGAACTTAATAGTAGTTAATACTTTTTTATTTTACTTGACTTTATTTTACTTTACTTATATACAGACTTATGAGTGGCAGAGACCACGATCTCTTTTTTGCTTTTTTTTAAATTTGTTCGGGAAAGAGAGACCACAATCTCCTTCTTTTTCTCTTTTTTTTTTTCCTTGTTCTGGAGAGGCCAGGATCATACTGGTAATAAACCAAAACCAAGAAAGTTTACCAACGGGCTTAGCTCAGTGGGTATAGTACCCATAATCTGTTGAAAACTGAAATGCACACCTATGTTCAAATCTAGCTCGAACCACATATGTACAAAACTCCTGAGTCCTGAATACCTGGGACCGGTCAGTTCCACGACGATAGCTCAAGGCTGTAGACCTTTTTTTTTTTTTGGGGGGGGGGGGGGGGGGGGGGGTGTTGGTTGACGATGATACATCAAGGCTGTCCCCCTTTTAAGAAAGAAAAGAAAAAGGAGTTAAACACAAAAAGCAAACAAACAATCTCCAAGAAAGCTGACTCGGACGGCAGCTGGACAACATTTCTTTTCGGATTTTTTTAATTTTTTTTTCCCCCTCTCGCATCTGTCATCATCAGGGACTACATTTCAAATAATTGGCAAAAAAAAAAAACAAAAAAAAAACAAGCCTTTTTCAGTTAGTGTGGCTTTTATTGCCGTGTTGGACTGGGTTTTACTTTTACGGTTTTACCAGATCTGTGGATTGTCAGGGCAGTGGTCCGGTTTTGGGCCATTCCTGTCCCAAGACTATTTACCCAGGGCCTGCACCTGAGCTGGGTAATGGTCCCGGAACTCCTGCACCTAACCTGGTTAATGGTCCCAGTACTTTGTCTCCTGGTTGATTGTTAAGGTATTCTCGGCCTCAGGGACTCTTCTAGTAAAAAAAAAAAAAAAAAAAGATTGGCAAGAATTAAACTGATAAAGTGCGATGAAAGGAGCAAACCCAAAAAAAACCACCTGTGCCCCGCCCAGCTATCAAGTCCGAGGCCCAGACTACAGGTAAAAAAATAAAAAAAAAGCCTCGGACTTTATTGCCGAGCCTCGGAAAACAAATGATAAATTAAAAAAAAAAAAAAAAAAAAAAAAAAAAAAACGACGTTCGCTATACGGTGTGAAATTTACTTCTTAGAGTCGAACTACGGATTATGAAAAGAGCCGCAAAGACTGATCCGCATTATCCAAAACAGTTTTTTCTTTTTTAAATATATTCTCCTTTTTCTTCTTTAAACGACCACTTTCATTGCAAAAATTTGTAAGCCGAGGCCGGGAACCTCACGATTCAACCCGGACTTGTAAATGCTCGGCGCCTTTCAGCACCAGCTAAGCTGGCTGATGCTAAGCTGGCTGATGCTGAAAGGCGAGCATTTATATGTACCACGTGCTACAGAGTTCATTCCTTTTTTTTTTTTTCCTTATTCATTCCGCTCATTTCTTTTATGTTCAGTTTTTCATTCAATTTTCTTATTCCGTCTCACAGTTAATTGGCATCAATCAACTTAAGAATCTCCTCTTGCGCACCAATGCTCATCCGCGCGATCTTCAGAACCCCAAGATATTCTCTGCAGAGTCTGCAGTCCCCTCTTCCCTAGCGGAGACTGCAGAGGATATCTTGGCGTACGAGGGGTATATAGGTAGGAGGGATCCATATCCCTCTTAACCTACTATATCCCTCTTACCTACATTACTAGGAACAAAAGACGAATGAAATTGCTCCGGCCGGCGGGCTCGATCTCCCAACCACATACATACACACATACATTAATCAAAAATATATGTAGACACACATACATACATACATACATACATACATACATACATACATAAAATCACAAATGGATGTCGACACACATACATACGTACCGCTTGACAATGTGTCCAGGTTAAGGAACTAGGTTCCGAATCCATTCCTCATCCCCGACCTTCTTCACAGGACGGAGCCCGCTATTTATAGTTTCCACCACCGTGAGAAAATCTAGTATTTATCCAAAAAATATATATATGGTAGCGCGCAGGGGCCATGCTACTCAATCTTCTCTGTATCGTCAACAATTATTAACGGATGCCCCGGAAGACAATAACAACCAATTCGTTACTTTCCGCCGCCGCTCAGAATCTATTTATAACCTTGATTTACCAAAGTTCAGAATCAATTTATGGTTCCCACCACCGCTCAAAATCTATGTATGGTCTCAAACTAGACCGTTCAAAATCTATTTATAGTTTCAATCCATCACCGTTCAGAATTTATTTATAGTCTCCACAACCGTTCAGATCCAATTTATAGGCACCACCACCGTCCAGGATCTATTTATAGCTACCACCACCGTATAGGATCTATTTATAAGTTCCGCCACCTTTCAGCGTCTGTATTCATTTGTTCCACCCAGCACTGCCCGCCCACCACCGTTTACAATCTATTTATAGGTTCCACTACTCTTTATAGGTTCCACGATTCGATTCCTTTCCCGCCTCACTTGATGTGGAACACAGCAATGTCCTGCTTGTTCTTCTACGATGTCTCCGAGAAACTTCGACGAAGCTTACAATCTATTTATAGGTTCCACTACTCTTTATAGGTTCCACGATTCGATTCCTTTCCCGCCTCACTGGATGTGGAACACAGCAATGTCCTGCTTGTTCTTCTACGATGTCTCCGAGAAACTTCGACGAAGCCTGTACAAAAAAGACAGCAATCCTCTGCCCAACAACAGCTGAACCTTCATCACAGTGCCTGTGATCGTCACGCCTTCTCGCCTCTCCCCTTCTCTTAGTCCACATCCTCCTCCTCTCTCTCTCTCTCTCTCTCTCTCTCTCTCTCTCTCTCTCTCTCTCTCTCTCTCTCTCTCTCTCCTGCTCTTCATCAATCGCACAAGTGCGTGCTTTTCTCTTCGATGTATTCCGAACAACATGAACACGCTTCATAGGAAGCAGAAGCCGAAGCAGAGTAGAAGAGAGAAGCAGCATGTACAACACATCGTTTCTCCTCTCCCCTTCTCTGATTTCCCCTTCCTCCTCTTTTATCTCTCCCCTGCTCTTCTTCACTCGCACAAGTGTGTGCTTTTCTCTTCAATGCATTCGGACTAGCATGAACACGCTCCAACACGCTCCCTAAGAAGCAGAAGCCGAAGCAGAGTAGAAGCGCGAAGCACAGCATGTATAACACATCGTGGGAAATTCCATAGACTAACTAATAACAGCACACGTACACATCGTCGGAAATTCCATAGATTAACCAATAACAGCACACGTCCCAATTTCAGCCGCGTACGACAGATTCTCCAACCTTACAGCGCGTTCAGAAATCTCTTTTGCCAACCCTAAAAAAAGCACATTTTCTGACCCTACTTTAAAAAAAAAGAAAAAAAGAAAGAACGACAAATTACCGAGATCTTCCTCGTTTGGGAGCTGCCCTGAATTCAGGCTTCAGGACCCTAACTCGACCGATTCAACCATCATCCTTCTCCATCGAGAGCGAAGATCAGTCTCACTATGATGATCCGTTTTTGTACTCGAAGCCTAACCTGTCAATAATATGCCTCTTTTTACTTCTACTAAAAAAAAAAAAACGACAAATAGATACATACAAGTTGATACAACTAACACGTCGTTCTTCTCTACACGCTGAGGCGTAGAATTGAGCTCCAAACGGATTAATCTACTATGTTCACTAAACAATCCACCAGATTAATCTACTATGTTCACTAAACAATCCACCAGAAACTACTTATGTCCACTAAACAATCCACGAGAAAAGGAAAACTGACGGATTCCCTGCTTGTTTGAGCTCTAAAGCAGGCATATATAATAATATAAATTACTCTCCCTGATCCCGACCACACCCTGGAACTCCATCAAGAGTGTGCTGCATCCATAAGTGGATGTCCCGGCTTATTTACGAGAAGTTGCTCCCCCTTTTCTGTTCTTTCCTTCTCTAAAATAAACAACATCTCCAAAAATCGACAAATGAACCCTCCTCCTCCTCCTCCTCCTCCTCCTCCTCCTCGCTCTAATTCTCCTTTCCGCTCTGTGCCCGCTTGGATATCTGCTTCCCCCTCCTCGGAGTGTCCCCGTTTCACACCCCTCCTCTCTACCGTTCTATCCTTTTTTTATTCCTCTATTTTGCTGCGTCTCTCACCATGCCGGCCCCCCTCGTTCCCTGCAAATTGCTGCTGCGGATTTACGAGCCACCAGCATAACAGCCACCCTTCACCGCGCCTGGGAGGTGAGCATCTCCCGGCCTGCAATGTGACATCGACTCCTCTGCAC